TTAAAAAGATTTAGAAGTATACTAGGGTTAATATTTGCGTGTCTCGGGGTATCTTCAAGGCCCAGATATTTTATAGAGGACACATAGCGTCAAATGTATAGTCAAAGCGTGTTATGAAGCCATTGCAGTAACCGAGAGCGTGTCGACACGCTATTAGTATGGCAGCTATATCTTCGATGCTCTCGCTTCGAAGCACATTTGTGTCCATAAAAGTTTTTATGGATTCCCCTTGAAAAGAAGAGTGGCGTAATCGTCCAGTTGCTGCGCATCTTAACGAGATTTTTGTATGTAGCAATCGTACAACGTTCTCTCACGCCATTCCTATTCACCATTTATCTGCAAATGACCCCAAGTTCTGCTTTACCAACCCCATAGGAATATCGCCACAAATGGAAAGACCAACGACTAATCCTCCTTTAGGCATTTGTGCCGAAAGCCCACAAGCTTCACAATCCCGAAAAGTAGAACTGGGATTCTTTTCTGTGCCCAGTGTCATTAATCAAAGGCGTCAGGCCTTGTAGCGATTTCATCAGTAATTGCATAATAAATTTATTAGACAGTCAGGCTTGAATGAAAACTTATCTGGGTCATCAGAAACTTATCTGCGTCTCGTCAACTCAATTCGCTGTATGACCCGTTTATACAATACTACATTTCAGTATAGACATGTACTAGATATTTTTGGGCCGAAGCGAAAACGCTGGCTGTTGTAGACGTAGCTAAACAGACCCAGGAACATTTGTAGTGATTAGAACATGCGTACTTTGCGTTTTTGCCGTTCCTCCTATTGGGCCCATCGTCAGCTATAGCTTATCGATGTACTTTTAAATGCTTCGCATAAAAACTCTAGCTGGGAACTTTTCCAAAACCTTTCTACAAATGGCAAATAGATTCATAAAGAAGTGGCTGGCTCCGTTGTACGACATATCTAAAACGTGAATATGCGTAAAGTACGGAAGCACAATGCGAAGTGCTAGTTTTTTTTTTACTAATAACATTTCTCAAAAAATAATCTCCCTCTTAATGCAGTTGTATGCGTATAATACTGAAGTCGTATTCAGGGATACATATATTCATGGGACAGATAAAAAAAAAACAAACCTATATCTACATAGAAGCGCACCAGCTGTGGCGTTTCGATAGCCGTTCCCGCAACATTGGCCGCAGATCGCTATTTGAATTACCGGTTTTAGTAGACCTTTCTGTTACCGAATACAGATGTATTCCATGCAAATACACCCTTCCGTTTGATAGCTAATATTTATATTTGTTTAAGGGCTTCCTGGCTTCGAATGTTTATCCGCTCCATAAATGTTGAGAATTTGACGAGTTAGAAAAGCAAGACCGGAGTTGAAATTTGCTCTCGTCTAATCTAAAATGGTAAAGGTCAAACATTATATTGTTCGGATTTTATAGAGCTGGCGACAAAATCGGAGAATAGAGTACCGATTACTTGCTTGTAAATTGTCTCCGGTAGATAGAAGTGCTACATCAAAGAGGCAGATTGTGTCGTTTAATTAAGAACTAAGTGTGTCTATTGCTGGCTCACGACCTCGACTATCGGATCGAAGCTGATTCTTAGAGATTTCATGGGCCGATTCTCCTTCAGAATTAGAAGTTAATCTCTACTGATATTTTCCGTCCGCAGCTATATGATAACAGTCAGTTGGGGGTAATCGTTTTACTACCGATTACTATTTCGTTCCCTATGAATAAAGTGTATAAAAATTGATGAAAAACGCTAGAGACTTTACTTTACTTTTAGATACTTTGTTTAAAAAGAAAAAAAAAAAAAAAAAAAAAGATTTGCTCAGCGGTTGCGTGTATCGACACTTGTAACATACCGCTGTCATATCACCTGGGAATGGTGTTTTATTAGTTATAATTTTCTACTTATCAGTAAACACATTGATATTGTACCCCTGAATATAGTCCCGCTATACTAGAAAATACTTAAGGAACAAGAGGCCCGCTGTAAGTAATGTTTATTACCTACGAGCACTGCTTTGCGTATTTTACCATTTGTAGTAGTTATTAGGGTAATAACGTGTTCATTTACTACTGGACATTTTGTATATATTCGATAGTGAAAATAGTAACTGAATATTGAATATGAATGTTAAGCTATGAGGACACACTTTGTTTCACTGCTTTCTAACAAACACACTTTTTTCATAGAAGAGATTCATATTTTGAAACAATTCAGGTTTACAGATGAATTAAATGAAAACCTTCGGAGCGCTATGCTTAGCAATACGTTCAAAGGAGTGGAAGCTTCAGCAAAAAATCTACTCGGAAGTAACGAATTGCACCGCAGATGTGCGCGACACTTTTTTCTGCCATCTCTCGGCTGTTTCTTGGACTTTTTGTGCTTGAGATATTGCCGTTAGACGTCCTATCAGACGGACCGCTGGCTGGCTGGCTCCCAGCACGAAACGAAGTGTACAAGTCCACACTGTCACACAACGTGGCCCTAAGATTAGGGGCAAATACGTTACTCACACAACTAGATCAGGGACAGGTTTTCCGACAAACATCATATCCGATTCGGTAGCATATAGATAATATAAATTTTTCACGTGCCATAGATTTCTTTAACTTGCAAGTAACGAACTTACTTATCCTCACCAGCAGACTTATTTTCACAAACATAAAGATGAATCTTCTTGGTCCTGAGCTGTTTATTTTTAAATTCAAAACCGCTAGAATTAGTAATATATATGAGTAGATACTCGGACGTATAAATTCGCTATCAATCCTGGAAGGTGCATAGGATCCATTTTGAAAGTTGTCTAACGTAGCACTCGAGCAATTTAAAGTTACCGACAAATCACGCTTTTTTTCCCCATGAACCACGTAGTTTGCGAAGTAATTACGAAAAATCGTCGAATAATTTCCCAATATAAAGGTGAATACCTTTTACGTGAAGGTCGTAGGTTCTTCTCTAAAATTGCCAGCTCAAATGTTCTACAAATGAGGCAGGATTAGCTTAATGAATTCAAAACAAAAAAAAAATCGTTCGTCAGTCTTCGTTTTAGGGGATGCACTTTTCCTCCACCCAGTATCTACGAATATTCGTATATGATGAAGGTGGGTGTGATTTCGGATTTAGCTACTTCAGTCATTATTTGTTCTCTGCGTTACTTCGCGACGATATTATTCAACGTAAAATAGAATTATGCGTTTGACCGTCTCAGTAATCAGCGCGTCACGCAGCTATCCAGACTTTGAACTCATGACGCAAGGATTCCACTCCGCTAAACAAGCGGCATTTTGGTCGTACCTTTTCTGTAGCAAACTGAAGTGCGATTTTAGTTTGTTGTCAGCTTACGCTTATGACGGTTACAACAAGCAGAATCAACCGTAAACACAATCAACAATCATAAAGAGTGAGGAAACCGTAAATTCTTTTTCATGCATGCAATGAACCTTGATGTACAGCTATATGTATACATATATATAATCGAAGCCTATTCTACATTATATGTGTGTATATATGCACATATGTAATTATCCACGTCCTCTGGTCGCTGTTAATTTTTTTCGTAAATTAGAATGTTTTGTATTTAAAACCTTTTTTTTTTCATTTAAGAACGTTAAATTTGTAAACGTTGACAATGTTCCGAGCTGTTGAGTCCCTTTTTTAAAAGCTTTTAAGGCTTAAAAGCAAAAAACTTAGAAAATTACGTTGCTGCTTTAGCTTTAGTAATATTCTACGTCTTATCGGTCTCACATTCTTGCGTGCGCTCGGTTTCGGTACGACGCCTGGATACTTTGAATGCGGCAGCTATCGACACCTAGCCAAAATTTCTCTCTTGCAATTAGAAACATGGCTATGTCTATCTTGCAGACCATACTTTGATCGTTCTTGGCACATGTTGACAACGGCTAGAGCTACCTATGAAGTATTCAATTGTTGTTCGCTCCCTTAGGGTTCGTTCTAGAGCAACAATCTAGTATCGAAAAAAAAAAGCTTTTTGAGCCCTTTAAATCTGAACTCCATTGAGAATCTCGCGGTCTGCCTTGTGAAAATCTTCCTTGCCGTTCAACTAGTTCTCAAGTAGACCATAAATTTTGGGAAAAAAAAAAGTTTTAACCTCGGTGAGGTTTTGTCTAGCGTAGAAACATTGGATAATAGTTATATATACATATATATATATATATATATATATATTTTTTTTTTTTTTATCGAATTTCGATAACGAAGTATTGCTGTTCGTTTGATGTTCTGTTGAAGTAAAAATTAGATTTAGCCTGGAACAAGCGGCGACGAACGAATGTAGACCTGCTACAACAAATAGTGCGCCAAGGTTTGTTTGTATCGTACCCGGCGCAATTCAAAAGTAGACTTATGGTAAGAGCATAAAGCCTTCGACTGCTTGAGCATATAGGGAAAACTAGTTTATAGGGTAATTAAATTGTCCATAATAGAGCATTGATGTACGCTACTGTAGATAAAGATGAAATTATCTTCAATGATAATACAGTGGCATAGCTACTTTTTGCGAATTTGAAAAAAAATAGTATGAAATAACAGTGTCTACTAGTGTCTATATTTTACCGTCACCGCTACTAGGTTCCGCAGTGTGATGCATTTTGCAAAATAATTGCTACTAATATAATAAGTAAGTGCAATGACCCAAAGCAAGGCAAAGGCATATGTCCGAATTCTCACCAAGGATCACGTCTACCATAAGTCCTCGTATGAGAGTTTTTGGAACAAAGCTTCACTCACAGAGCCGCTGTAGGCCCTCTAATTTGCCTAAGCTCTTTTTGGTAAAATTCTGTTTGGCCTATTGTCATAGAGGAACGATAGACATGGTCCTCGGCCAACAACCTTAATCAGCTATTTTATGTAAGGCCATTACTTTTTTTCCGTACAGATAGCCTAGCAGAAGTGGCCTTTGTCACACGACTTGCATTAAACATCCCAAAAAAATTAACGGTCTGTTTGTCGCATATTGATTGTCTAAATTAAGTTTTCATTGTGTCTATTTCAGTTGGATAATCAGATCGGACAGGAGATTCAAGGGGGAGTCAATATGTTTGAGAGATTCCTAATTGAGGCCATGCGGGAATGCCTTGAACTGAAAGAGCAGGAGGCGCTGCTACTAGAACCAAGCGAGGCCAATGGTAATTGATAACATGGCAGTTGATCAGACGGTGGCTGAATAGACGTTAGGGGGGAAATATCGTATTTGCAACTGTTGTTGCCATCCGGATACATGCCATCATAATATATATATAATAATATAATTTGGACTGTTGATTCTAGGATCTTGTAGCCTGGCAAAATGTTACAAGTTGTTAACTTAAAGCAGACGTTAAAAATCGCATCAGAAACGTATTCCTCCTGACTATGAACGTCAAAATTCATAGATACGCCGATCATTGAAAGCTATCGGTTAGCTAGTTCCTTTACGCGCTTGTGTAAACCTGCCTGGATATTTCCACAAAGTACAACAATCATTCACTCACAACGCAGCGTCAAATCAATAGCCTACAAACGGCCTATTATATCTCGAGCTCTTTCTAGCGAGTCAATTAGAAAATGGTGTCTAATTTTCTATTTTTCATCAACGATTATTCGCGTCCTTTCCTGATGATGGGCACAGCAAAGACAGACCTGATCTTGAAACGTTTCCCTATCTAGCAGCATTGGCAATAAATCAACGTTAGAAAAAGAAGTGTTTAGAAGAAGAAGAAAACTGGCCAACGTTTTGGATGAACGGAAGAATATCTGTCCGACTATTTTTGAATACTTAAACAAGTAATCTCCATGGCTATACACCGCCCTCTAAATAGCTTGCTTACCATTCGTTCGAATTCACAAAACAAAGCCAGACATCATTGTGTACGTCGATGTGATCGGGCGGCATTTGCTAAAAAACAAATCTACAATTTGTAAGACTCCTACACTAAACAAATTACTTTGTCCTTTAGTAGCCTGGAAGTTCGCAGCTACAGAATTCGCTCACTACAGCGTATAATACTATCTATAAACTTCTAAAATATTCCTAAATGTGAACTTGTGTGACGTTTGCGAGTGGACGCTTGGCGTGTTGCTTCCTGAAGCAAATTTTCGGGAAATTTAAGAAAAAAACCTACTAAATAAACCTTATTTACTTGCACGCATCAAGCCTTGTGAGCAGAGAAGAGATAGTCTACGGATTTGCTCCCAGGGTTTTTTTTTCAGCCTTCATGAAGCATTATGTTATCCCATACACGCTTACTACTGAATGCTAGCTATTATCTTTTTTTTATTTAAATTTAACACGACCTATAATCGTAATACGAGCATGAGTTTTCTCAGTAAATATACGAGCCGGTAACTTATGAAGGCTTTTTGACGGCGTATAGTTTCTTCGCCGAATAAGAGGATTAAAACCCAGTCCGCCGAGAGTGGCTGTATTAGTTTGCCGTTTTTGAGAACGTCGATTCAGTTCGCTTTCAACGTTGGCCAATTGGTTATACAGGTCATGCATAATTTGAATATTAGAAAGGAATCTCCACTAGCCTAACATGAAACTTATAGTACGAGGCGTCATTTATCTGCGTCATTAGGTGGTTTTGAAGAAATTTAACCTGATTTCAATGGAGCATGTACATACCGTGTACTGTATTTGTGTTAACGCTTCTCTGTCCAAATGGCTTGTATTCTGTTTATTCAACACTTCTTGCATTGTCATCGTTGATGTATTAGGGTTAGCTTGTCATTGACCTTTGTTATTGAGCTCGCAGCGCCGTCAAAAATGATGGCACTATCCGATTGGATCCAGTTATCTAAGCAGACGGCTAGAAGCGCAGTCCTTGAAAGCACACAGGTACAGCACATGTACACAATGTGTCCTTCAAATTCTGGGATAGCATTATTACATCATCTAATGTGATTATCGCCAAATGAACTTTACACTAACCTATAACGTTACCTAATTGCCGAGATTAAACCTTTGCGGTTTGTTGGTCGCTGGAAAGAATTTCAACTCTTGTAATAATAAGTTAAATTTGTGTACGTTGTATTTATTCAGGAGGATTATTAGCAGGCTTTGTCTGACGATGAGACTCTGCGTTGTTTGATTTCTATGGGAACTACTTTATGCTTGTCTCTTTCCTATTGCCGATGTGTTTGTTTTGCTGGGCAAGCCTACATAAGTGCTTTGCTACCACCGACTTCGTGATTCGCCTACCTCAGCATAGCCCACTCGTTCACGGTGTAGCGGATACGGTTAAAATTTGGGATCGTAACTAGCTATCAATTTTACGAATCTGCAAATGGGTTTTATGCCTAAAAAAATCGATAAAGAAATGACTTTCAACAATGTAAAGCTTTAGTCATATGAAAATAATTAATTTCTAAGTATATAAAATAACACTTCTTCAGGAAGTCGAACGACTTGCAGATATATAAGTGCGATGCCGACAAAAGTATTTAGTTATAGATAAGGGTTGCTTCTTATTCGACAACACTACGGACCCATTAGTTTGTTATAGTGTAGCGGTGTTTCACAAAGCTCAGAGTTTCTACGGACAGCACAATCAGTTCGTCCCTTTCTATAAGAGCTGTATCAGATGAGTTCTGAGTGAGACTCAAGCAAGGTCCTTTTGTCACGTCTTCATAAATCTGTTGTTGCCTGATGCCTGACGCACCCTGTACCTCATTTGTAATGTGTACGCGAGCTACTTACTATTTCTGCTCTGCGTTTTCCCAAAAGTGTGGTGTTCGCGCGCGTGGGACGGATCGCTATGTTGGCCACCAATGAAGATAGGAGAAATGAAGCAGGAACGTTGTCCCGATCTTCTTGCTCGGCACGACACGAATGGTAAGTCGCATTACCGCCAGGTTCAGCCAAACCCGTTCGTGACTTAATTTGTATTTTTAAATAAAACGATGTTTGTACGGTAACAAACAAGTCAGTGCAGATGTAGTTAGAACTGCGACGTCTCGTAAATCATCGATTAGAACTAGCAAAACAGTAGGGGGTCCAAAGTATACACTTCTAGCTCGGTTGAGATCTCTTTCGTTCGTTCGTTCGTTCGTTCCTGGGTATACACTTCCATATGAAAAAGAAGCTATTGGAGATAATTGTACTTAAGCTTACAAACCTGCACTTGTTGTTTCGGCTCGAAGATTTCGCCTTGCATTTTTCGAGATATATACGGGATAAGAATACACCCTGTATGATAGGTATCTTTCTTGTCGCAAAAGGCCTTTCTGCTGAAGTACAACCAATACAATATCTGCGCCGTGCTACGATAGTACTCATACTGAAAATAACCTACTGCGAATTACTTATTCGCCTCCAGCCTGTTACTCCTGCGTTGCATCGAGCAGATTTACTGCAGCATGTAGTAGATGCACTTTTTTTTTCTTCAGGTCCTTTTTCCTGTGATGTCCTACCCCGTATTGGCGTCAGCACTTAAGTCTGTGGCAAACACTGTTGGAGGCAATGATTACTGTTCAGGTTAGTCCAGGTTTGTCATGCCTAAAGGGCCCAGGTTACACATTACAAGTGTTTTATCATCCACTCCATATGGCATGCCCTAATGGATCATCTGCCTCTGAAGGACATATAAGGGAATGCCAGACTTCGCGGCGAAAAGTCTTAATGGACACTCAAAACACGCTTGTCTTTCTTCAACTGTTTGTTTTTTTACTTTTACCGTAATTTATTACCTTAAGTTACAGTGCCGCCTTACGCGAGCTGCACAAATAGCTCGGTGTATTTGTATCGCTCTCTCATTCGTCATAGCCGTAGCCTTTTAAGCGAAAGTAGCGGTTAAAACTGGACCTGAGCGCACGGAATGCACGATTCTGTACGACGCCCAAGGTAGCACTGTAATATATGGAGTAGTTAATCATACCAAATGCCATTTACATAAGGCTTCTGCACCGGCCCTGGGCGCCCCCTAAAGTGGTTACCCACTTATACGGTGACGTATAGCAACGAAAAGCATGTGTCAGTACTTTGGCACTAAACATGGTACAGACGCTTAAGCACAACATAATCTTAGATATGATCGAGATCTTTTTGCCTATTGTAGCTCATTTACGTTTTATCAGGGACCTTCAAGCATCTATAGCTAAATATTTAGACCCGGCGATGGCTGAGGCGGTAGAAAAGCTGGTATCATAGGTTAGTTTGGTATAGGTCGCGTTTTCGAATCAAGAACTAATATCGGCGCAAAAGGTTTTCAAGAGATCCTTCCCACAAGAAAGTATATCTATGTACGTAGCGAGTATGACGGCGATGGCATGAGATATGAGCTAGTCTGAAACCTAGCTTGAAAAGGAAAGATGTCTACTATGATATGAAAAACTCGTGAGCGTTATGGCGCTCCTGGTTGCTATTCAATTGATGAGCAAATCGCTGACTCAAAATTCAATTTGAATTGTCTTTAAGTATACAATAGCGAACAATATGCAGCCCAGTCATCTGGAAGCCTGCTATTTGATTATTCCCGGTACAGTCGCCTAATCAGAACTGCACAAGGTAACGCACACGATAATCACCTATTTCTCTAAGGATCCTAAAACTCCACAACCCACTCCGATTCTGTGTTCTCAAATTAAGGCTTGGCCTTGCAAATGTTCGGAAGTTAGCCGAACGTTTGCTCTCGCCACGTAAACGGCTCACAGATGAATGCATGGTAGCCTACGAGAAACTGTGTTTACCTTATTATTGTAGTACTAGTAAATAAAATATCCCAACGCAATGTCGTGTTGAATACCAAGTGAACCTATATCTATAATCAATAGAGTGTCTGCCGCGACCGCGATAACTTTTGACAATAGCATACTCAAGAAGATCGAGAATACTCAGGATCTCATATGTCAATTTCTTATTCTTCTCAAGAAAATAACCTTTACGAGAGTACATAGAGCTTTTGAAATCAGGCGGTAAGTTGATATATATTTTAAAATCAATAGTTATCAATTCAAATTTGCCCATGCAGTCAGTCGGTTCTATTGTCAAAAACGCTTTGGACTACGGGTGAATTTTCCATGTTACCACTTCATGGTCTGACTGCTAAAAACGTATTGCATTTCCGGACGGTGTCTGGCTTGTTTTAAATCGATCATGTTATTACCCGTAAGGTCAATCGCGGACATTTACCTGATAATGTCCTCTGTCGAATATCCGGCCTCTCTGCGAAATGCTTACGGAAGTAGGTGTAGTTTTCGATAGGTTTAAGGGGCGAAGAGTAAAGGATTTGCCAAAAACCGTGAAACTGGGAACTATACCTTCCTTTTTCAACAACAAACGTATACACACAACATATATGTCAACAGAAAAAGTCAATTCTTACATTAATTATGTCGTACTTCATAGTTTTATTGGTAGGACATAGCTTTCAAGCTTCTAGATTAGGGTCGGCCACGGCAGCTAGGCCTAATTAAGCAACCTTCAAGAGGTTAACTCGACTGAAACTGTTTATTGATATTAGTATATACTGCGATATAGCCGAATCGATTACAAACGATACAATTATCCTTCCAACAAATCATGAAACACATTCGTGACAGCTTTAGGCGACCTGTTCCTGATTGCGGCAGAGCCTATTCTTATTTACAAAATCGCAAAAGCATTCATAGTAACGCCTCGCATTAATCAAGCTAGTTCTGTAAACCCGGCGGTAAAACCGGTAAAAAAAAAGGTCGGCGTCCATTAGAACAGTTTGCATATCAGCAGAATTTACGTTGTAGTTCATCGAAGGCAAGGTTTCCTTTACGAAGCCGGAGTGATACGTAGTGGCACTGTCGTAATTAGTACTAAGCGCCATGTTTCTTTTTACGAAAACATTGAAGGTTTTGCAACAGGACGGTAAGGAAAACTGAGTTGTATCTAAAAATAAATAGAAATTCGTGTATGTTTGAGTTGGCGCGAGAAATGCGGTCTCACCATGAAACTAGAAGGCATGATTCAGAACTTTTCATGTTTCTGCGGAATCGTACGCGACACATCGAGCCCAAATATCCTGTCTGATACATTACTGAAGGCCATACATAAATAATAATATGGGCTAATTTACTATAGAGAGGCAGTATTAGTATTTAGCTTTATCCAGTGGTCGACCCACCACGAACCCTGGACGGATGAATGCAAGCCAACGGAGAAAGTAGGCAGTCTCAGGTGAACCTGCACATGTCTGACATCGTTTTATCGATTACGTAACTATGCGGTCAAGGTCGCTGTCAATAAACTTTTCCCGGCAGGGGGCGTTTTGTACATGAGATTTCACATCCTATATTTTACGACTATTTATTTGACTACTCTTCATTTGATGAATAGAAATGTAATATCCGTTACGCGCGTTTGTGGCGCAACAGACGTTCTAAAAGCCGACAATTTCCTTGAAAACACATGAAAGGAAAAATATTTGAACGAGTTAAATTATCCCTCGTGAGAGGGAAAGAATAGATAGTGAGAGAGGGCGTGTCATTTCACACTTACGTTTTGTTATGGTGTGCATCTTAGAGTACATACAAAACAGGTACGAAATATTTCAGAATTCGTAGTGCGAACGTGTACAGTCTCCGCAGACGAATCCGATTTTGGCGGGAGCTCAATGAGACAATCATCTGGAATTGAAAGAACGCTTTTGATCAACACGACGGGCGATGGCTTGAGTGATTATTCGAGATGCGTCGCTTCAAAAACAAGACATAACGAGATCGTTCGGCTATATCAGGTGAGATGTAATTGTATCTCCTATGTCGATCATAAAAAGCTTTTTCTGGATGCGATTCTTTACATCTAGATCGACTATTCAGGATCATTTGATAATAGCGAACAGTTCACAATTGTACCTTTAGTTAAACAACATTCGTTCTTCTGATACATCTTTAGAGGCTAACGTATCTGAAGTCTCATTCTGAACGTTCTCATCTGAGTCTCAGGGTGAAATCAATAATTTGTACCGTTGAAGGTTACTTCAGTGCTTGGTATTTTTACGAATTTTACATGCGCGCGTTTGAAGTAGTTTAAATGCAATAAAATTAACATGTTACTAGGAGAAGTGTTCCTTATGCAGGTGTGATGCCCCTTCTGAGTTGCACAGCATCGTTGACTGGCAAAGATAATCTTAAGCAACGTTTTCTAGAAATATTTTCATTACTGGTCGTTTTAATCGGGGCAAATGTCTGCTACAGTCATGTTTGCACGAAGTAGTTGTTATTCTTAAGTATGAGATCTATTAGTTACATCAGTGAGCTAGATCCTTCACGCGGATCGGTTACCAGGCAAAATCTCAGTCGCATTATCTCTACCATTCCACTTGCACTAACTTAAATTTCCAATTTAAGTTCTCCTATATGTAACTAAGGATTTTTACATCCGTTTTTAAACACGTTAGTCAAATTCTTTCTGCAAGAAAAGCATCAACAGGCGCATGGCGCATTGTAATCATATATATATATATATGTTTATGCGACTATGTACATGCTCGTATCGAAAAAAAAAATGCTAGTATATTCCCTTCACAGAGCTGGCCTTGTTCAATACAATCAGTCCCAGGCCGATGTCGGTATTTACGTGCATAAGACGTAACTAAAATACAGGTGTCTCTTTTCAAGTTCTTCTATTCACGTACTAATCGAAGTAGCTGTTAGCCAACAGGAGGATTAAACGACCTTGAAATGTACAAGCAGAGCGTTATTATGAGCGTTGCAGTTTGTTTCTGTAAGTTACAAGTTAGCGTTTCAAGCAAAACCATGTGAGATTACACAGTGGATCCTTGTTAATTTTCTAGAGTTTTTCTCGTGCATGACTTCACGTTGTTAACTATGTGGAAAGTGTTCAGCGGCTCAGAGTCCATAAGGCTAGTATGCGCTCGTCCGGTTTTCTAGCTATCTTACATATCAACAACAAATCAACTTTGCTTGAATATTTATCCCCAACAAAACGCTTCCATATTTAAAGTACTCACTGAATAGCAAATTAACAAGGATTTTACACTATA